CGGATTATGCTGACGTGGGACACATAGGATACACGTAGGAAAAAATAATACACATCATTTTCCTAATCATAAATTATCTGTACAGTGAAAAAAAATCGATCGATCGATAGAGCTTGACCTAAAAACAATACACTTCGATCTGCAGCTGCTATTCCACTTCACTATTTCGTTCGTCTTCAATTCAGAGCTCGACCTTGTGAAGAACATCAAATCGCCGAACAAAAATCGCGTTCTTCAGTTTCATTCCCCGAATCCCAGATCGTACACTTTTGATTCGCCTCGCTCGTAACATCTCCCAGGTAAGGTTCTGCGTTTTTCGGATGAAGCTCGTAATAGTTCCTCATTTCTGTGATTTTCGGCTAAAGGTCGGATTTCTTCCAGTAATGTTCTGCGATTTTCGGCTCAAGCTCAGATTGGGGCTTTCGTCTGTCGTCGAATGTACCAGCAGGTAAGGAAGAAATCCACGATTGAGCCGAAAATCGCAGCTTCTGTCTAAAATACAGTTCTGGAACTAGGGTTCTTCAAAATCCGAGCTTCGTCAAAGATAAGGAGGAAATCCCAGCTTCAGAAATAGATGGATATTGATGGCTTCGTCGCAGTGAGGGATTTTGAACGATTCTTCAAAATCGCAGGTGGTTTGACGGATTTCTCTTCTCCATCTTCAATGTCGATTTTTTTTTCCAGCTCTGAGGGTTGAAGAAGAACGAAATGGTAAAGTGGAATAGCAGCTGGAAGATCGAAGTGTATTGTTTCTATCGATCGATCGATTTTTTTTTCATTGTACAGATAATTTCTGATTAGGAAAATGATGTGTATTATTTTGTCCTACGTGTATCCTATGTGTTGCTGACGTGGATTCAACTTAAAATGTTGAGTGCCACGTCAGCATAATCCGACAGTCAGCACATAAATCCGATTGTCCATGTCAGCGCATTTCGCCGGTAAGTGAGCTCGAGACACAATTGCAACAAATAACAAAAGTTAGGCTTTTATCTGCAAATTTGGAGAAGTGGAGTTTTTTTTGCAACTTAGAAAAAGGTTGGGGTTTTTATGGCAATTAACTCTAAAAAAAATAATTACAATAATAATTTTTACTCTCTTTTTTTTTTTTTTTAACGAAACGATAGATATTATTACTCGAAGCCAAATGTACATCCGGATTTTTTTTTAACGAAACGATAGATATTATTACTCGAAGCCAAATGTACATCCGGAGGTTAAGAAACCCCATATATCCCTAACAAAGGGAAATGAGAAGCTCTAAAAATAGAGTTCTAAACAAAAGAACCTAAAGGGATTAAACTACAAGCAACCGACAGAGATAGAACCTCAGGGACCGGTGCAAATTGCTTAATCCTCATTAGAGAATGTTGTAATTGTCTTTGTGGATCGTATACCGATTTAATTGTACTACAATGTATCCCGGCAATGAGAACAATATCTAAAAGAGATTTTGTTTGTACCATAGTTTTTAAACCCGCGAGCAGGCAGGTCTTACGGTCATTGGGTTATCGATTCAACCATCGGATCACCGGGTCAATTGTTAAACCAAATAATTAATTTAAAATTTTTAAAATTATTTATAGAATTATTTTGTCATATAAATATACATGAGAATAACAAAATTAAATGTTTTGTGTATAAAATTTGTAAACTAAAGTGTTAATAACATGTATCTCACGATAATTTACCATATAAACATATATACATAGTTTTATTTTGACCAATAAATAAATAAATAAATAAATAAAAACTATATATAGGCCGGGTCAACCGGGCTGACCCAGCCGGGTCAAGGCCGAGTTGGCCGGATTTTGACTGGGTCCTTTGTTGCTCAGTCCAGATAGCCCACCCGGACAGGTTTCGGCTCCGGGTCCGGACAGGTTTCGGCTCCGGGTCAATCGGGCCGATCCTAGTAAAAAACTATGTTTTGTAGCCATTATTTGTAAACTACGAGACTTGTAAACTACTTACGATTTATTCAACAATTTATTCAATTATCCTTATTATGAATTATCTCAGGACTAAGTGCATATTGGAGAGTGGCACAACATAAACTACCCAAAAAAACTATTTGATGTAAAACTATAAAGATTATGTTGTTACATATGTTTCAAACGCTTGCTATGACAGAAAATCAAACATCGATATAATATAACAACTATTGAAAATAAACTATTAATTCATGGATTTCTATTTTCACACAAAAAGAAAAAAGACAAAAGAAAAGGAAAAAAAAAGAAAACAATGATTCCTCTATGGAAAAATAGAAATTTAGAGGGGCACAATCTGTAGCTGCAGATTGTTATGGCCGTCCTCATGCGAAGAAGAAGATGACTCAGGCTTCATGTGTTGCTCAGCAGCATTCATTTCTTGGACTGCCGGAGGATCTATGACGGTGGCTTCAGATGGGATGGCTTCCGAAAGATGGTGTCTCATCTCCCTATGCTCCTGGCATATGGCACACCAATGGAGGCAACAATGCACCATGCATGGATCGCAAGGTGAATTCTGCAAATCGAGAGCATGTCCCAACAATATTATATTTTGCGTTATAATTTTAAATATATATACGTTTAGGGGCTAAATTGCAAGGTTGAAGGTGGCAATTTGGGTCCCACTGGAGTGACATATAACAATTTAATTTGGGTCCCACTGGAGTGACATATAACAATTTAATTTGGGTCCCACTGGTGTGACATATAACAATTTAAGTCCTGTAATTTAAAATTTGTTGCAATTTCAGTCTTTTTTAGCCGTCAAAATTCTAAAGTTGCAACAAAATTTTAAATTATATGACTTAAATTGTTAATTAAAATTCATCCCAAATATATAAACTGAAACTTTTGATGACCAAACGACTGCAATTGTAGCAAAATTATAAATTTCATGACCTAAATTATTGCATGTCACTCCATTTGGATCTAAATTGCTACCTTGATAGTCTAATAGGACCAAATTTGCAATTTACCCTACATTCAGGCAGTCGCTTTTTTCCCCGACTATCAAAATAATAATAATGTGCAAAATCTTCCGACTTCTTGTTTAGAAAAACTTCAAGAAACATGGAAATCACCTTAAGATGATATTTTCTTTGCAGCAGTTGCCGACCCATGCCGGTATAGATGCCGCAAACCCACCATGCAAACAATAAGCCTTCGGTAACAAGACAGGCTGTGTCGGGATCTATACCATGGGATGCAGCTGTCAAGGTGGCAAGGGCAATGCCTCCCTCGACACATATTGCGTGACCAATGCACGCGCTTTGCTGAGTTATGTCTTCGTTAAAGGTTGCCACATTGCGCCCGAATAGCACACAAGGGCAAAACAGTCCAGTTATGCCTGGAATTTAGAAGTTAATCGTTAATGTTGATATCATGTGCCTCAAACGAGATAAAAAATACAATGCCGAGAAGACATTTTTTTTATTGGACTTGGTTGTTAAGGAAATCTTTTTATCCCAGTATGCTAGTTTATTAAAATCTCCAAAAGGAGAAAAACCATGGGATTACTAATCGTGCTCTATAGTGTTATTGATTTACTATTTCCAAATGACACCAACTATATTCTATTATTCATTATATTTTCTCATCATGTCCAATCACACCCTTGAAATTCATAATTTTTCATCCCCAGCAGAAGGAAAATGAAAGTATTACAGTTACTCCCTTGGACACCAGATTTCTGTTCATAAAATTTCCACCTTGAGATGTGTGTTTCAGTATTGTAGAGACATATCATGACATCAAAATTTTCAGGGATCTACAATGTGAAACTTCTGTCTCGATTTGCTCATTGGAACAAAACAGAGTGCAAAAGGTAACGAGGACTTACAACTTTCATGATCTTCAGTACATCCGAAAATTCCTGTTATCCAGTCCTCATCAGCCGGGGGTGAATAGGTTGGTGGTAAAGTTTGTCCACATTGTTCACATTTGGGAGCATTTAACTGTTAAGATAACCTATTAATATAACATAGCAAAAAGCTCTTCCTTCTTTCTTTCTTTTCGAAATCAAACCAATTAATATGAAATTCGACGGCCAACACATATAGCAATTGAAATGGACAATAAGCAATAATAGTCCCACCTTATTTGTTGTTCGCTATTCGCACAAAAATCCTTTGATTAATGAACACCATATTAAGGAACACGTTTTAAATAACCCACCAAAATTTCCATGATCGAAAGCAAGATCAACTGCATCAGACCCATTCGAATCATCACTCTCACCTACTTCTTCAGTCCTCCCTAATTGAACCATAATTCAACAAAGCCACATTTCTATCCTAAGACACCCAACTTTACGAAATTAATCAAATTCCACTAATGACACCCACATTCCATTCAACTCATCTGATCATTCAACGATTGAGCAATAAACACTCTTATACACAATCAAACACAAAATTTCACAAAATTTCTACATCAGACACAAAACAGAGAACAAATGATGCCACAAAATTCTGCGGCAATCCCTAATTGAACCAGAATTCAACAAAGCCACCATTCTATCCTAAGATACCCAACTTTACGAAATTAACATGAGATCGTTCATCGATTGAGCAATGAACACTCTTATTATACACAATCAAACACAAAATCAAACACATCATCTGAATCAAAAGCGAAAGAAGGAATCAAATCGAACACGTTTAATTAGGGATTAAATTAGGGAAAAGGAAAATCAGGATGTACCTCGGCAACATCGATGGGCTGATTTAACTCGCCGGGGGTGATGTTCTGCAAAGAGTTCTGTTCTTTGGTCAGCTTAACGTACGACCCCTCTGCCATCTCTAACCATCAACCGATTCACCTTTAAGTAAATAGAAGAAATTCATATATTCACACAAATAACATCATGCATTTCTGCGTATATATAAATAAAATTGTGCCATGGCAATGTAATGTAAAAGGGCCAGAGAGTGGAAATGGGAAGATTTTTTTTTATTATTATTATTATTTTTTTATTCAAGAAGAAAAAATAATGCAAATAAATATTAGTTTTTTTTTTCTTTTATTTGCTTTTTCTAATTTTATCTAATTTTATCGGAATGATACAGAGAAAATTAGCACGGCCCTTGTGCAAGAATGACACGCTTAAATGTGCACAAAATATATAAATGACAATGTAATGTAAAGGGCCAGAGAGTGGAAATGGGAAGATTTTTTAATATTTTTTCTTTTTTAGTCAAGAAGAAAAAATAATGCAAATAAATTATTAGTTATTTCTTTTTTATTTCTTTTATTTGCTTTTTCTACCTTCTCTTTTTTTTTTCGTTATTACTTCTGTATAAGCTATTAATAGCACAATTGATTGAGCCGATTTGACTGGAGCTAAATTCAGTTTTCGAACTTTATCGAATTTTATCGGAACCATACATAGAAGATTAGCATGACCCCTGCACAAGGATACACGCATAAATCGAGAAACTCAGTTTTCGAATTTTGTTTTTTTCTTAAATTAGTATACCTAATTTTGATTTAATATGATACGATAAATTGGAAAAAGTTAAGGTACTGGTGGTGTTACATTCTGCTTGGCAGTGAAATTTTAATTAAGAAAATGTAACCACAAAATTTTTTTCATTTTTGAACCAAAGTATGCACTGATATCTGGTGTTGTACTCACATTGTCAAATGTTGATAACTTT